CTTTCATAGGTACCACGGCGATACCACGCCCCGATCCTCCTCCCCCGGAGCCTTCAGTGCCCACACCATCCCCCTCTATCACTGTCACCTCGCCTCGGCAGTTCGCTTACTTCATTTGACAGGACGACGTCACCTTCTTTATGGTGAATGTGACGGATCTCTTACACTATGATCCACCCTGTCCCGACGCCAAGCTCATCTCTCTGGAGCCAGATCCTCCTTCTATCTCCATGGCGCCCATCTCTACTCCCGTCCCTCCGCCGTCCGTCGAGTCCACTCCGTCGTCGCGCGCTGACGCTAACGCTGAGGAACTCACACGATATACGGCTGACCTGAAGCCCGCAGTTCGTGAGCTCATCCGAGAGTACCACGATGTTTTCCCATCGTCGTTCTCGTAAGTCGGCATCCCACCGATGCGTGACGTTGAGCACTCCATTCAACTTGTGCCTGACTATCGTGTTTACCACCAGGCACCCTACAGACTCTCGATTCCCGAGGCCACCGAACGCAAGCGTCAGCTTGAGGAACTCCTGAGACTGGGTTTCATTAAACCCAGCAACTCCCCGTGGGGTGCACCCGTCCTCTTTGCTCGCAAAGCGGCTGAAACTCTTCGTCTCTGCATCGACTACCGCGGTCTCAACCGCTACACGGTTAAGAACAGCTACCCCATGCCTTGTTACGATGAGCTGTTCGACCGCCTAGCAGGCAACCGCTTCTTTACGAAGATTGATCTTCGTAGCGGTTACCATCAGATCCGCGTCGCTGCAGCCGACCAGCCGAAGACCGCGTTCCGATCGCGCTTCGGCCACTACGAGTTTACTGTGATGCCATTCGGCCTCACCAACGCACCCGCCACCTTCAAGAGGGCGATGAATGACATCTTCAGGGACATCCTGGAGCAGTACGTTCTCGTTTACCTCGACGATATCTTGGTCTACAGTCGTACCCTTGAGGAGCACCTCAGACACCTCCGCGACGTCCTTGACCGCTTGCGCAGACATGGTTTCTACGCCAAGCTCAGCAAGTGTCACTTTGCCCAGCACAAAGTGGACTTCTTAGGACATTACATGTCTGACTAGGGTCTCCACATGAACGACGCGAAGATCACTGCTATTGCGAAGTGGCCCGCTCCCACATCCGCCAAGCAGCTTCGCAGCTTCCTAGGCCTGACCAGCTACTATAGTAACTTCATCCGAGGATACGCTAGGTATTCCTACGTCCTTACCTCCACCCTCCTCCGGAAGAACCCACCCTGGGCTTGGACACCCCTCCACGAGGACGCCTTCCGCGCCCTCAAGAAGGCGGTGACATGTGCACCGGTTCTTCACCTACCCGATTTTGATCGCCCTTTTATCCTTACCACCGATGCGTCAGACTTTGTTGTAGGAGCAGTGCTTTCTCAGGTCTTCCTCTCCTCTCCTGATTCCTCTCATCCTCGTATCCCTCGCTTCCCACGACCTACCCCTACCACTGCTTCCCGACTGACGCATACTCGTCCAGCTACTGACGAGCCTTCTATTGACTATTCTCCTACCATCTCCGAGGGCGGCACTGTCAAGTCTCGCTCAGGTGATTGTCCGATAGCCTTCTACTCACGTCAGCTCCTGCCCACCGAGATAAACTACACTGCTGATGAACGTGAGGTTCTCGCAGTAGTTTATGCCGCTCGGCACTGGCGTCACTACCTGCATGGGGCACCGTTCACGGTGCGTACGGACAACTTTGTTGTCCAGGCTTTTCTGACAAAACCGAAGCTTACTCCTCGACAGGCTCGCTGGTGGCACGACCTATCCGAGTTAAGTTTCACCACTAAGCACATCAAGGGTGAGACTAACCGGGTCGCAGATGCCTTATCCCGGCGCCCTGACCACGATCAGGAGCACATCCAGCTCTATTTCATCTCGGTCAGCACCGTCCACCACTCGGTGATCGACGAGTTTCGCACTCAGTACCGCCACTGCCCTGACTATCGCGACATCCACGCGACCCTTCGGAGTGGCAAGACCGTCCCGAACTACTCTCTCAGGGACAACGGTCTCGTGTACTGGCACGGTTCAGAGGGCACCAGAGAGCCCCGTATTTGCGTTCCCTCCACTGTACAGCTACGTGTCCGAGCAGTAGCAGAGTTCCACGACCACGCAGTCGCCGATCATATAGGCTTCCACAAGACGTTGGCTTGTGTGAGCCGCCTATACGTCTGGCCGAAGCGCAAGGACTTTGTGAAGGACTACGTCGCAGAGTGTCCCACCTGTCAGGAGGTGAGCAGTGCGAACCACCTGCCTTATGGTTTGCTTCAGCCTCTTCCTATCCCTGAGGGTCGTTGGCAGTCCATCTCGATGGACTTTATCGGTCCTCTTCGACCTCCGACCCCCCGCGGTCATGATGCTATCCTGGTCGTCGTCGACCCCTTCACGAAGCGTGCGCACTTTGTTCCGTGCCACTATGCTATCAGTGCACGTGAGGTCGCCGACATCGTGTTTGACCGAGTCGTGCGTGACCACGACTTACATCTGAGCATCATATCTGACCGTGACCCGCGCTTTACCAGCCGATTCTGGCGACGACTCCACGAGGTGTACGGCACTCAGCTCCGCTTCTCCTCGTCTTACCATCCTCAGACTGATGGTCAGACCGAGAACACGAACAGGACTCTCAGAGATATTCTCCGAAAGATTGTTCGTGACGACCAGCAGTGGGATCTCCATCTTGCCCACGCGGAGATAGCCTACAACCACGCCGTCTCGCTAGCCACGGGGATGTCGCCTTACTATTGCGACCTCGGCTATCACCCTCGTGTTCCCGCAAACTTCCTTCAACCATCCCAGCTGCACCCCGACACGAGTTGTCCCGCGCTGGACGATTGGGTTAGAGACATGACGTCGATCATGAAGACCGCACATGAGCATATAGTCGCTTCTCAGACTCGCATGGCAGCACGTGCGAACCGATCGAGGATGGATCATCCATTCAAAATCGGTGATGATGTGCTTATCGACGCCCGCCACTTACAACTCGAAGCGGACACGCTTCGCAAGTTTCGGCGTCGCTTCTTTGGCCCATGCCGCATCCTCCAGGCCGTCGGTTCTGATACGGCATCTAGCCCGGTCAGCTTCTGTGTGAAGCTGCCCGACTACCTACGCCAGGCTCGTGTGCACGATGTCTACCACGTCTCGTTACTGCGTCCTTACCGCAGACCGTCTAAGCGTTTCGCCGGACGACCATACGAGCACCCTCCACCCATCATGGTGGACGGTCACGAGGAGTTCCTCGTTTCAGACATCATTGGTCGCCGAGTCACCAACGACAACCCTCCCCACGTCGAGTATCTCGTACGTTGGAAGGGTTACCTTGATGAGGAGGCTACCTGGGAGCCCCTCGAGCACTTGCAGCACGCTCGCATGTTGGTGCGTGCCTATGACCATGCTCGTCGTGCTCGGTTCACTGCTCCTCTTCAGCCCACTGACCCTCCTCCTTCTCCTCCGGCTGAGGAGACCGCTGAAGTCGAGCCTGCTCCATCTGAGGTAGACCTTCAGCAGCAGCCGGATGCTTCTGAGCGTCCACAGCGCACTCGCCGTCGCCCTGCTCGATACGACGATTGACTCTGACTTACCTTCCCACGTCCTTGACTTCTCAGTACTCCATCCACATCAGTTTTGCTACTTC